AAAAAAAAAAAAGAAGAAGAAGAAGAAGATACCTGAGCCAGGTGTGGTGGTGCATGCCGGTAAACTCAGCACTAGCACTTGGGAGGCTGAGGCAGGAGGATTGCTGCCAGTTTGAGGCCAGCCTGGGCTACATAGCAAGACCCTGTCTCAAAAAATTTAAAAAAAAAATGGTATCTGAAAGGGTAAGGCAGAGGACCAGTCTGGCCAGCTGGCCCTGTCTGAAACCCCTATGGTTCTGTGCCAATGAGACCATGTTTTCTCTTACCTGACGCTGTGTCTACTCAGGCACATTCCATCTTGGCTGCTCTCCTGGGCCCCGCTCATCTGTGCTCCTTGGGGGCTCTTGCTCTTGCAGAATACTGCGCTCCCAAGGCGGTCACGGGGCCTTGTCGCGCAGCCTTCCCACGCTGGTACTTTGACGCTGAGAAGAATGCCTGCGATGCCTTCACCTACGGGGGCTGCCGCGGCAATAAAAACAGCTATCGCTCCAAGGAGGCGTGCATGCAGCGCTGCTTTGGTGAGTCCCCAACTCCAGAACCCAAGACGTCGTCATGGACGACCTCCCTTGGGCTCTAGTCCCATTCCCTGTCCCTGACACAAGGGCCCTGGAAATGCCAGCCTCGGAGCCCCTGGAAGAGCTGGAAGCCCCTCAGCAGACCTCCCTGTGAAGGCCCAGCCTGCGGGGTGCTGGGTCAGGGGCTGCTCAGTGGGCCCGGGAGGACTGCGAGCTGACCACACCCTCCCGGCTGTGTCTTCTCTTCCAGGCCAGCAGATGTACCCTGCCGTGCCCTCTGGCGCTAAAGGTAAGTGGCCTCCTGTCCAATCCTCCCCATCGCCTGCCTTCTGCCTTCTGCCTTCTGTCCTTGACTAAACTCTGCCCTTCCCGGCTGTGGTTTTCTGCAGGCTCATGTTTTGGCCACGTTATCCTACGCTGTAAATATCTTTTTGGTGGAAAGCTTGTCTCTACATGAGCCCGGGAGGCAGCTTGGCACATGTGTGGACATTCGTCCCACCACACTGTACACAAATGCAGCTGGCCATGAGTCAGTCATTCCCGAGGCAGCTCCTCCCTGGCAGCCGGGAGTGGCGGGGGTCAGGTTTCCTCTGCGAGCTGAGGAGGTTTGGAGGAAGCTGCTGTCTGGGACGGAAAGAGTTGGTCGGGGTGACAGGAAGGAGTGCCGCTTTGGGCACTGTTGTCCCGAAGCAGTCCGTCCTGACCGGGGAGTGCAGTCCTCTTCTTGTCTGAGTCTGAGTTATGAATGTGGTGATGACACAGAGGACCTGCCGCACTGGTTTGGCCTCTTTCTGACCTGTTTCCCTGCAGAGGAGCCTCCACCTGGCCTGCACCTGGCCTGCAGGTCAACCTCGTCCTAGAAGCTGGAGCCCAGTTTCCCAGGTGTAGGAGGTTGGGGTGGACAGGGTCTCACGCTCTGTAGCCAGTGGAGGAGGGGAGTCAGGTGGCTGCCACAGGAAGTCACATACCTTAGAACCCCGCCTGGGAAGGAGGCATCTTACCTGACCACAGGGACCACAGTGGCTGGTCACCTTTACCTTTACCTGGCAGCTAAGTAAGAGCACAAGGGTCGCCCCCCAGCTCTGCTTCAAACATACCCCTGCTGCCCCTGATTGCATTCAGCAGGCAGCCATCCCTGCCACCTGTGGAGCCCCCCTCCACCCCAGCACTGGAGATAGAACCCAGGGTCTTCATACTGAGCTTACTCCTTGGCCCTTTTTAAAAATTTTAATTTTTAAAGAGGAAAATAACTGATTTTACTTTTGTCATATCAGAATAACAAAGCAGCCCTTTTATGTCACCAGTCACGAAAAGGACATTACATAGCCTAGTGTGGTGGCACACATCTGTAATTCCAGCCCTCGGGAGGCTGAGGCAGGAGGATTACCACCAGTTCAAGGCCAATTTATGCTACATAGTGAACTCAAGGCTACCCTGCATTGCAAAGTGAGACCCTGCCTCAAATAAATAATGATGTTATTTTTAAATTTTGAGACAGGAGCTTATGTAAGTTTCCAGGCTGGGCTTGAACTTGCAATCCTCCTGCCTCAGCCTCCCAGAGTACTGGGATTACAGGTATACACCAGCACACCTGGCTGAGGTCAAGTGTTTTTCTGTTGCTGGTCGGGAGGTGTGTGGAAATGTTATACTGCAAAGGCTTTGTGTCACAGATACCGAGGCAGAGCAGTGTTGCATCCTGTGGAGCTCCTGTATAGGTAGCCCTAAAAGGTGGTAAGGGTTCTTTTCAAAAAGAAGGAACATGGGCCGGGGATTTAGCTCAGCGGTTCGGTGGCCTGCCTCGCAAGCGCAAGGACCCGAGTTCGATCCCCGGTACCAAAACAAAACAAAACAGACAAAACGAAGGGACACAAGAGCCACTCCGCACATGGCGTGACACCCCCCTTGTCAGAGACCTCCTCGCTGACTTCCCAGGCAGGCTGCATCTCCCCAGCCGCAGCCCTCCGGACCCTTCCAGACTGGGGAGGGACAGACACGGGAGCCACCCTCCTGCCCCGCTCACGTCAGGGCCCTTCTCGCCTCACTGGTGCCCTTTGTGTCCACAGCGATGGTGCTGGTGGGACTCTCGGTGATGGTCCTGATTGTCCTCCTGGCCGCCTCTGTGGTCTACTTGATCCGAGCGGTGCGGAAGAGGCAGGAGCGTGCCCTCCACACTGTCTGGACCTCTGGGGACGACAAGGAGCAGCTGGTGAAGAACACATATGTCCTGTGAAGGCCTTGTCACCAGGAGAACTAGCGGAGGGAGAGGGGGATGTGCGCGTGTGTTTTTTAGATAGCGTGATGGATTGTTTCTGTGCGATCATTAGGGCTTCCCTCCGTCTGTACTGTACTTGGTGTGAGGAGCTGCCTCCGGTCTGGGTCTGCTTAGGGAACCCTCGGAGGAAGGCGCTGCCGGCAGCCCAGTGTCTCCTCCTGTCCTTCTGTCCCCTAGTGATGGTGTTCTCAGCTCACGTCAACCCCACTGCCTGCTTTCTTACCCATCACAAAGTAATGTTGTTGTATTAGGTTCCTGTTTGATTGTTGTTGTTGTTGCTGTTATTTTTTAAGTAGAAATGCCAGAGGTTTTTTTTTGTTTTTTAAATTCGTATTTGAAAAGGAAAAAAATAAAATGTACACATTTAATAAAAGGGATTTCCCTTTTAAAATTAATTTCACGCGTGGTTTCTTTGACAGGACGACTCATTTACACTTTCACCAGAATCATCTCAGGACTCCATGTGAGGTGTCCCCTTGTCAAAACAGACCTTTTAAACAGCATCTTTTGGATCTTTCTGAATATAGCATGTGGTGGGAGATAAACTTCACGTTGCCTGTATGACATTTTACCAGATAGCACTCAGCCTTACATCTGTAGGCAACTCATATTTTCTCATATTTGTCACATTTTAAAAGCTGGCCACAGCCCACTGAGTTGTTGCCGTGGCCCCCCCACTGGAAGACCACCTTGGAGGGGACGGGAGGCTGGGATGCAGGCGCCCCGCCCTGGGAAGGCCCTCTGGAGGGTGAGAGTGGGTTTAACCTCCCTTCCCTTTGTGTCCCTCAGTTCTGCAGCCTCCTCACGAGGAAGCAGGAAGAGGGTGGCTCCCCGACTCATCACATTTCCTGCGCTCTCGCTGGAACCCGACAGAGCACCACGTGGCTGATTGGGCCTCCAAGCCAGGCCCGGTCCTACGCCCCACGAGTGAGCTTCTCTTCCTGGCTCTAGATACTGGCGCCCCAGTCCCCCACTCCCCTTCCACACATGGTCCTGAGGTGGCACCTGGGAAACCCTGAGCTCAGTGGGCAGCCTGGATGTCATCTGCCTCCGTGACTCCCGGGGGTGGCGGATGCAGCCCACATTTCCAGATGCTGCTTTGACGTCTCCTGGAACAGAGGATCTGGTGCCCTTCCATTGGCCCTTCCTAGAATCCTGTAGGGCTTACAAATGGATTCCCGAAGCTAGTTGGGCGAACCCTCATCCCCTCTGAGCCTGCCTCCCTTACCTGCCTGCCAGGCAGTCATCAGAGGCCCAGTGAGCACATGGGACCTGCTGGATGTGGCCCTGCAAATGCAGACCCCAGACTCCAGGACAGCCTGGGTGTTGGGAGGAGACTGCCCATGACTCTCCAGCTGTGTGACTGGGCAAGTCACCCGGCTGTTCAGCCACCCTCCTGTGACAGGCTGTCGGGAGGGGGCCCGGGCATCACACCACAAGGGCGCCCCTCAGGCTGGTGTCCTGGCCCTGCCCTCCCTTCTGACTGAAACTTTCCAGTTTAGGATACTGCTGCTGTCCAGTGTGGTCCTGTGACTCCTGCTATGCCACTGTGGCCCTTGAAGCCTGTGTCAGGTTGTCGCTTTCTGTGTCGTTTACTGGCTGACAGTGTTGCTTTATTTATTGCAAAGGCTACCCATGTGGGGCAGTAGCCAGGTTATTCAGTGGGCACTGTACACCATACCCTTGTCCTCAGGCTGCCTGGGTTACTAATGGGACATGGGCTTTTAAACATTCACTCAAGGCTGGGCGTGGTGGCACACACCTGTAATCTCAGATACTCAGGGAGGCTGAGGCAGGAGAATTCCAAGTTTGAGGCCAGCCTAGGCTACTTAAACCCTGTCCCACAATTGAAAAAAAGGGGGGACTAGAGGTGTTGCTCAGTGGTGAAGCACTTGGCTCTCATTTGCAAGGGCCTGGGTTCCACCCCCAGCATCACACACACACAGATTTCTCACTGTGCCTCTGGACCACACCACATACCTTACTAGTCAGACAGTGGCTGTCCACAAAAAGCTTCTCCCTAGGCCGTCTCCTGGTAAAGATCAGGGCAAGGGAGTGCCCACCTCCAGGGGCATAGCCTGCAAGTGTCAGGCTGCCCCGAACGGGGCTGGGGACTGGGAGTCGAGTCTGGCCTGGCTGTTGGGATTCTGTCCTGTAGACTGCTCCTGGGTCATGAGCACAGTGTCTGCCTGGCTGAGTGTCCTGTTTGAAAGCTTCCCTGTTGCGGCCAAATGGGAGGTAAAATGCATCCCTCAATTTGCAAAAAGGCTGTACTCAGCTCCTCCCTTCACACAGGGGCCCTTTGTGAGTGGCGGTGATAGAAGGGGTGAAGCTGTACTTTCACATCCACCTTCCACCCTCGGGATCAGCACTGCTCCCTGGCTGAGCCTCTGCCTCCTCCAGCGTCTGCCAGCGTCTGCAGCTGGGACTGTGCCCTGCCCACTGCCCACACTTCACATGGCCACCCCCCATGCTGGCCTGATGCCCGCTATCGCCACAGCTCCTGAGTGGCGGACCCCGCTGCACTCCCAAACTCATGGGCCAGCACAGCCCGTGCCAGCAGGGCTGGTGAGAGATCATGTTTCTGACCCCTTGGCAATCCATGTGGCACTTGAGGCTGCATTCAGTGGCATTACCCATGTGGCTTCCTGTGTGGCCAGTGCGATGGCCTTCCAGGTCAGCTTGATTTCAGGGAGCCGAGTGCCCTAGGCCCTATCCTATGGGTTTTGTGTTTGTGTGGGGAAGTGGGTTCCTCTCTGTGTGGCATGACAGCTGCCTTTTGATGAAGTGGTGACTGGCAGTGACCCTAAAAATCAACAACAGCTCAGTGTCAACCCCCTTGTATGGCTCTAGGTGGATGGCAGTGGGTCTTCCATCTGGCCTGTCTAAAATAAGTCCTGTTCCCCTGCTCAGGACCCCTGGGCAATGTGGTTGAGGTTCAGTATTCTACAGACAGAGCCAGCTGTGGTAGCACACACCTATAATCTTAGTACTTGGGAGGCTGAGGCAGGAGGATCGCAGTGAGTTCGAGGCCAGCTTGGTCTATATAGCAAGACCCTATCTCAGAAAGAAAAAAAAGCAAAAAGCAAAAAACTATCACAGGCCTGACAAGACCTGACAGTTGGCTGGGTGGACACCAAGCTTGGGCCTCCCCAGTGGGCTGTCAGCCCCACGGCAACTCCCAGGGGATGTCTCAAGACATCAAGAGCCTGACTGTGGTCAGAGGCCAGTTCAGAGCTTTTGTCTGATGAGAAATGAGAAGGGAGACAGCCCCACGTACTATGTACTTAAGGTCATCACTGTGTGCTTAGGGTCCTCGGTCAGCTGGGATGTGGTTGGTCTCAAAGAAAACATTGTAGCACAGGGATTATGATGTTTATAGGACCAGGCCTTGCCGCAGATACTTCTCCAGCCAACCGCATCCGCCCTGAGACAGATAGGAGCGCGAGACCCCATGGAAGACTGTCCCTTCCCACAACCCACCTGCAGTGTCTGGCTTCCCTGCCCACTGGCGGATGTCAGGGCAGGCTGACCCTGCTGTGAGCGAGGTCGGTATTGCTGCAGGCCACTTGGGAACACAAGTCCCTTTTTTCTGTGAGGGGGAGGGAGGATGCTGTTTTTATATCCTTTGCACCAAGGCATTTTAGGCAGAAAAAATCAGGGAACCAGCAGAGGTTGGGGAGGAGAATCATTAGGTGCCAACGCCAGACCAACGGGTATCGTACATCCTATTTGGGCCTGTTGGTCGGTGAGGAGACCAGACAGGCAGGCCTGGGGAGGACAGATACGAGCTACTGTCCCTGGACCCAACAGCCATGGGAGATGAAAATTGAATGGCAGGGTGCTAATATTCCAGAGAGCAAAAGGCTCACCATAGTTTTTGGACCTCACACCTGTGTTTCTATCCAATCATTTGCGTCCACCTTCTCAGCTGTGACTGGCTGCCATTTATAAACCTGGGGCGTAGTTAGAATGGGAGTTAACACTCACTCCCACCAACAGGGAGTAGCAAGGGATGGGCTCCCAAATCCATGTCTGCCTTCATTTGAGTGAGTCCCTAGTTGCCACCCCAACATGGGTATTCAGCTAGGAATGATGTTTCCCAGCCTCCCTTGCAGCTGGATGGCCTGGCCAATGGGTTGTGCATAGCTGGGTCTACACCCTTTCCCCCTTCCTGTCTGCCTTTGTCTGTCTCTCTTTTGGGGGCGGGGTGGGCACTGAGGATCGAACTCAGGACGCACTTGCGAGGCAGGTGTTCTTTTGTTTTGAGACAGGTCTCACTATGCAGTGCAGCCTGGTCTCGAACTCACTCAGAGTTCTCCCTCAGGATCCCAAGTGCTAGGATTATAAGTGTGTGCCACCACGACCAGCTGTCTGTTGCCAGTTTCATGAGAAATAATGACAAGATGTTTGTAAATAATGAAAAAATAACATTTATTGAGCATCTGTTTCTCTTTACCTGTGCCAGGCAGACTGTGTAAAACTGTTTACCTGTGAGGTGAGTTTGCCACTTTACCCTGGAGCAAGCTCAGGCCCAGAGTGGTTAGCTCATTTGTCCACAGAGCAGTGAGGGGTACAGCGAGGAGCCCCCCACCGCCTGCAGCCTGACCTCCAGAGCCCAGACACAGCCAGTCTGTACTGGCTCTAGCCTGTCACAAGCACACCCCTGACATCAGATAACCTCACTCATCCCCACTGAGTCACACCATGCTGGGCAATGAGCAAAGTCACCTACGTCCCCACCCCCAAATTACGTTTTGTCAGAGAAGCAGACAGACACTTTCATATCTTTTTTTTTCTTCAGTACTAGGGATGACACCCAGGGTCTTCACACTGAGCCATACTCCCAGCCCTTTTTATTTTTTATTCTGAGACAGGGCCTCACTAAATTACTAAGTTACCCAGGTGGGACTTGAACTTGTGATCCTCCTGCCTCAGGCTCCCAGAGTGCTGGTATTATAGACAGACAAGTTAGGTAGAAATATCATACACAGTCAGATAGGGCTGGGTCCTCAAGAGGATTAGGACAAAGGTGAAACACACCACAGCTGCAACTGAGGAGACATATCGATTGGAAACAGGGACTCAAGATAAAGACAAGATGGCTGGTAATTCAGCTCCATGGCAGCGCACCTCCCTGGCAAGCACAAGGTCCTGATTTTGAGCACCAGTACAAAAAATTTTAAAAACATAAAATGAGCATGGTGGCTCACACCTGTAATCCCAGCACACGGGAGGCTGAGGCAGGAGGATCGCTGTGAGTTCAAGACCAGCCTGGGCTACCTAGTGAGTTCCAGGTCAGTCTCAACTACATAGTGAGACCCTGTCTCAAAAAACAAACAAGCAAAAGATAAAGACAAGATGACCAGACCTGCACACTTCCTCAAAGAACAAACACTGGGCCTAATGAAGTCTAGATAGACATCAGCCACCCCAATGGATGTCCAGAGACCTCTGGACCCACCATTTGCTAGGAGAATCTTTGTCCTTTCTATCCATGCTTATTATGTGCCTTGTTTCCTAACTGGACCATTATTACTTTTTTTTTTTTTTTTCCCCAGTACCAGGGATCAAACTAGGCAGGCACAGCGCCACTGAGCTACGTCCCGGCCCTTGGACCTATCGCCTAAGTGACTGCACTTGTAACCCTATTGGATGAGCTTGGCTGTGGCCCACACTGTACCCATGTGGGTTTCACTCTATAAAACTCCCCTGTACAGTGGGCCCCTGGCTACCCACTGGGACCCCGCTGCCCCTCAGGAGCTTTTCTACCAATCAATATCTTCCTGCTCTTAACCCCTGCTGTTCCTAGAATTCACTCCTTGATTTTTACAGAACAAGAGCTCAGCGTATCAGACAGCAGCTAACAGGTTGGGAGACAGAATACTTCATGTTTCACCTCCCGTATTATTTCCTGTATCACTGGGATTACAGGCCTGTGCCCCCACACCCAACTTCTCTTATCTTGCACCCAGCTGTGAGCAAAGCGTCACTGCTCATCCCTTCCTCTCATTTCCCAACTGAGCCAAGACCTCTGTTGTCTGTCTTGCTGGCCCCACCCCGGCTCACCTCTACCTTTATCCTCTTTATCCACTGCCTGTCCTGCAGTTCCTGGGACACACAGGTACATCCCTGCTTCTGTGCCTTTGCACTTGGGTCCCTCTGACTACAGCACTCTTCCTCCTTATCTTCCTCCAGAACTTCACTCAAAAAAAGATGAGCCAAGCACAGTGGTGTGTGACTGTGGCCTCAGCTACTTCAGAGGCTGAGGCAGGAGGAACTCTTGAGGCCTGTTCAATGCTAGGCTGGGCCACAGAGTGAGACCTTATCTCAAAGCAAAAACAAAAACCAAGAAAAGTTACAAAACTTCAGTGAGATCCCTTGGTGACCTTCAAATCTGACCCCTCCCCAGCATAACATATAATGGCTACCTATTCCTCGAGACTACTCTGTTCTGCTCCCATTTTTGCTTTGTTTTACAGCACTGGAAGTGGAACCCAGGGGCCCATGCATGCTAGGTAAGTGATCTAGCACTCAGCTTTACCCTTGGCCCTGAAGAGAGGGTCTTGCTGAATTACCTAGGCTGTCTTGAACTTGGTGTTTTTGTTGTCGTTGTTGTTGTTGTTGTTGTTGTTGTTGTTTTGGTGGTACCAGGGATCAAACTCAGGTCGTTATGCTTGCAAGGCAGGCAGCGGAACCACTGAGTCAAATCCCTGGCCCTTGAACTTGTGATTCTCTTGCCTTGGCCCCTCAGTAGCTGTGCCACTCAGCTGTATTTCACTCCTTAAAACATGCATATTACTTTTTGCTGGGAATGGTGGCGCACGCCTGTAATCCCAGCACTCAGAGGCCGAGGCAGGAGGATCTCTGTGAGCTGAAGACCAGCCTGGGCTACATAGTGAGTTCCAAATAAGTCTCAAATACATAGTGAGATCCTGTCTCAAAGAAGCCCCCCCAAAAAACAAACAAAAAACAAAACCAACACCAACACAAACACACAGAAAAACCACTGAAAAACATACATATTACTTTTTTAAAAAGCTTTGAGTAGGTGTGGTGGTACATGCCTGTAATCCTAACAATCAGGAGGCTGATGCAGGAGAGTCACTCTGAGTTCCAGGCCAGTCTAGGCTACATAACAAGACCCCGACTCAAAAAACAAAACAAAAAAGGAAAGCAAGCTTTGAGGTATGTTACATAAAATCCATTCCTATCATACAATTCATTGGTTTTTAATAACTTTACTGTCAGGTGTGGTGCACACACCTGTAATCCCAGCACTGAAGGTTGAGGCAGAAGGATCACAAGTTCTTCAAGGCCAGTTTAGGTTACATAACCTGTGTCTGAACCATCCCTCATTCTGCCCAAAAAGAAACCCTGGTCTTAGATCTTGCTATCTGGCCAGTGAGGAGGCAGAGACAGTGGCTGAGTCCTCTCACGCACTGGGTCTGCTGGTGCTTCGGTCTTGGACTCTGAAGCTCCAGGATTATGAGAAAGACTAAGCCATTCAGGTCCATGAGTGACCTATCGCAGTCCGAACTAAGACACCTGCCTTTACTCTGGAAAGCCAAACGCAACGCATCGTTCTACAAGCAGTCTGTGCCAGGCACCAGGCCAAGAACTCAGGCACCCCAGGGGTGGCTGTCATTCAGTTTGGGGATGAGCTTGCCGCTCCCCAGGCTGGAGCTGGAACCGACAGTGCACCAGGCCTAGGCTTCTTGCCCCAATCCCCGGCGTCTCCCACCTTCTGCCCCAGCCCCATTCACTGGAGCCCCTCCTCTCTAGGGCAGCCCAGAGTCTGCTCCCTTACTTCCTGCAGAGGAGTCTGGATGGAGCCAGGGAGGGGCTGAGTCCTCACTGAGACGCTGCAGGGACAAAGGTCAGGAGGGCGTGTACCTCAGAACTGGGGGGGGAGGTCCCGCTGCTGCTGCTCCTCCTCCGCCCCAGAGCACCTTGGGTCCCTCCTGGCCCTCGGGACACAACTGCGCTGGCCACCATGGACTTCAGCCTGGCGGCAGGTGCGCTCCTCTGCGGGGTGGGGGACCCAGACTCAGGCCCACTCCCCGTTGCCTGCACCAACCCACCCGACCCCTCTTCTCTCTGCAGCCCTGGATTCCAACTCCAAGAAGCTGGAGGGGGCTTGCAAGCTGGGAGACCCCAAGCACGTTCCTCCTAAAGCTCATGGCGGGCCAGGGGCACCCCAGAAGCCGCGGGTGAGTCACCTCGGCACGGGGCCTGTGCGAGGGGTGGGATCTGGTCTCTGGGCCTTGTGGCACCTCAGTCGTCCAACTTGGGGGCCTAGGGGAGGTCCCTGTCCTCACTGCCAACCCTCCCCTCAAGCCCTGCCACGGCAGCTCCTCAGATTCCAGCAGCAGCAGCAGCAGCAGCAGCTCCAGTGACTCGGACTGCGAGGGGAAGGTAAGGGCGCTGCAGGCCAGGCGCGGCCGGGAGGGTCGCAGTCCCAGCGGCAGCACCGGGTAGGGTGGGCCC